TCTAGGTTTCATCAACAGCCCCAGTGGGAGTCGAACCCCACCAATAAACGTATAATAAATGATGTAATCGAATTTTATAATAAGTCTAACTTTGCTTCATCGGTAATCCCACTAAAGAATGTGATATGGGAAAAGGCATAGCCTTCTCTGATGGTTAAATGTGCCCTATAACCCAAGTCTACTCGTAGCAACGTGGTGTGGGGGTTAACATGTCGAGATTATGCGCTGAGCTTTCATGGCTCGAGTCTGTCTGGGGGTGTTGGTGAGGCCAGAGCGAGGTCAAGACTGCGGTCCAGTCCAGCCTCGATGAGACTTCCTTTTGGCAAAGCAAGTTTGTGTGAAATGGGAAGGAAACGTCAGCTCTACTCATAGCCTTGTGGGAAAATTTAATTACCACTCCTTAATAACCTCAAACGAAATAGGGTGTATACATTTCACACAAATTATTCAGAGTTCCTTAACAATTTTATGTGATTTGACTTCTCCTTCGAAATGAAAAGGTGAGTCGTACTACAAAGTGTATTTTTTCATCATTCTGCACCTGTACACAATGTTTATCATCCCTTTGCTTGTTTACTCGTTTGTTTTCAGTCTCTCCTTCTTTCGTTCCCTGCCCTGCCCAGCCGCTCGCCGCATGCGTGGTTCGCATTTACGCTTCTTCAAAGTTGGTATCGAATGGGGCCCCGATGGGGTCGTCTGAGCGCGGTTGCATTGAAAATGCTCACCATTACCCAACCCGTCTGGTCGACTGTGGTACCGACAGTCGCCGTCCAAATGTGTCTACCTCCTGTCCGGCTCCCTCCGTCTCTGCCGCTCTCCTCTCGTCTAGCCGCTTGAGTCTGTCCCTCCTCCACACGCCTCAGCAACACACCTCCGGACAGGCAGAAGCGACAGTCCGACATGTCGTCGCCTGGACTGGGCTGCCTGAACCCGTTGCCGTGGCCTCTGCCCGGAACCGTCTGTCCTGACGATCAGTTTGACGCCCTACCATGTGGAGGCAGAAGCACGCAAGCCTGCACCTCTGGTCTGAACACACACACACACACACACACACACACACATACACAAACAACACCACATGTCCGTCGAGACAGGCGACTGGCTCCGTGCTTTTCTGACCATGTATGTGTGTGTGTGTGTGTCTGCCCCTCCATGATGATGCATGCACAGACTTGTGTGCAAGCGTATCTGGGTTGGAGACTACACGGCGAGGCAGACT